CCCCAAAACCCCAAAACCCCAAAACCCCATCAAGTCATTAATTGAAAGTTAAAAAGATATGTAAAATGTATTTAAAATTTTTTAATAGTTATTAAAAATGATTATTTGAGAGTTTGAAGAATTCCTTTCATTTTTTATTCACTTTTTAAGTTCAGTCTAAAATACTTTATCCCAAAATTTGCAGATTACTCCATATCCAGCATTTCCATTCTTGTAGTGATGCTGCATATGATAGATCTTGAGATTTCTAAAGTAATTATTTTGTGGTGAGGAATGATGTAAAAAGTGATGAACTAAATCATAAGTTAAGAACCCTAAATAAAATCCAGCTAAAACTATACCAGCATATTCCTCTGGTATTATTCTTCTTGCCTAAGGATCTATGATGGAAATTGCGAAAAGCATAGCTGGTAGCACTGGAGTTATTACTCCATAGGTTTCATTTGGAAATGCATGGTGCATTCCATGAGTAATGAAGTTAAATATCTAGAATACTCTAGTTGGAGGAGCCCATATTTTTTCAAAATGGAATACAAATCTGTGAAGGCAATACTCAGTAATAGTCCAAATCATAAACCCAAAAATAAGAGATAGAACTTGATCTGTGATTGAGAGTTAAGCCTACCACACATTGTATAAAATTAATGAAAGCCAACCAAAAATTGCATGTGACCAGTGAACTTGAACTCCTAATTATAGTAGTTTATTGTCATACATCTTTATATGACCTTTTCGGTTTAGCAGAGCTTTGGGTTCCTCAATAAAAGCTAAATATTAATCTATAGAAAGTTCAGCTTTCCATAATTACCAGATGAGACCTTTTTCGTAATCTGGATTCCACTATTTTCTTGTTATTACATAACCATTTAATCCCTCGATCTCACGATTTAACCTGAAGTCTTTTGCTTCATTTGCTGGTATTTTAGAGTCATGTTATTAGATAGAATTTTGAGGTTCATTTTTCAAGAATCCTATTAATGGTATTTCGTTGAATAATTATTTTGCTTACACAGTATGTCCAGTTTCATTAAATGGCTCGTCAATTTCACAATTCAAGTATTATTCTAAAATTTATGAGCCTCCAGGGTGGATCTCAATATAACTATTTATATTGAATACTTTTTTTCCAAATACTATTAATTTCAAGTTCTTATCCGACTCTCCTAAATTCTGTACTTCTTCTATTGAGTTAAATTGTATTGTTTTATCTTATTTAACCATTCTTATTGTATTATTATCTACTTTCATTTACCTTTGCACCTCTAAGTTTTTCTGCAAATTATTACCTGCATTTTTAATTAGAGAACTATCGATCATGACTATTTGTTATCTTATTTTTATTTGCAAAATTAAAATATTTAGAACTTAATTAATGGTCCAAAACATTTGAATCACAAATCTCTGACCTTTTCACAAGTTGATATTTTAATTAATTCTAAATTTCCAACAAATTGCGGTTTAATTCTTAAAAAACGAACACACTTTTAATAAGTTTAAGTAAAAATTATTAAAATTAAATATCAAAAAAAATCATTTAATCTTATGTTAACACATAACTTAAACAAAGGACTCTAAGTCATCGAGAAGCACTTAGAAGCAAGCAACTAAGAAGAGTAAAAATAGCAACTAATTGGAGATAATGGAATGTGGTACAGCTACCTAATTGATCATCAACCTGATCTTAAAGTATAAAATCATTTACCTTAATCTTGGCTAATACTATACTACCTATAGATTAAATTTGATTATGGAAACAAATAAGGTTGGGGTTTCGCAGACACTGAATATATACATGATGAGAAAACAGGATTCATAAAGCTTACTGGTAAAATTTTTTAATTTATTTCTTAGGAAGCAGATATCCTTACAGCAATGAGTGGATGCCTCACTTTAAAAATTGGGCAATTCAAGCAATTGGTATTGACATTAATATCAAAACTGAAAAGTAGCAAGATATGGAAATTGATGACCCAATATTAAACCATGAATTTCTTTAAGAGTTAGGTACATAAAACTTTTCTAGAAGATCATTTTTAAAATGGGAAAGAATAATGCATTCTCACGGAGAATCTTTAAAGGAAGCTTATGCTCTTAGAAGTGGTAAATTTGAAAGAGTTGTAGACATGGTCATTTATCCACAAATTCATGAGCAAGTCGAAGTAATTACTTATTTAAATATTTGGTTAGAAACTAGTAAAATTAGCTAATAGCCATAATATTGTTCTTGTCCCATACGGGGGAGGTACTAATGTAACAAATTCCTTGGAAATGTCGAAAACTGAAAAGAGAATGATAGTCTCTGTTGATATGACGAGAATGAATAAAATTAAATGGATCGACAGAGTAAATATGAGTGCTTGCATTGAAGCTGGAATATATGGAGCTGATTTAGAAAATGAATTGAAAAAATAGGGCTATATGGTTGGACACGAACCAGTAATAAAATTTAACATATAACATATTAGGATTCATTAGAGTTTTCAACACTAGGCGGTTGGATATCAACAAGAGCAAGTGGAATGAAAAAAAATATGTATGGAAACATTGAAGACATAGTTTCAAATATTAAGTTTGTAACTTCAAAGGTAAAACATATTTTACTTATAATAAATACCAAAGGGAACTTATACGAAAACAAATAATTGGCCAAGAATCTCAAACGGTCCTGACCTTAATCATATTGTTTTGGGACATGAAGGAAACTTTGGTATTGTTACTGAAGCAGTTTTGAGAATTAGGACATTACCATAAGTAAAGAAATTTGGCTCAATCATATTTCCTGACTTTGAACTTGGAATAAAATTTATGGATCAGGTTGCAAGGACTAGACTATGGCCTGCTTCAATTAGACTAGTCGATAATCTACAGTTCTAGTTTAGTTAAGCTCTAAAAACATCAAGTAGTAGTATCACCTAAGACTTTACAGATTCATTGAAAAAATTCTATGTACTGTAAGTAAAAGGATTTGATCAGAATAAAATGAGTGCGTGTACTATTGCCTATGAAGGTGGTCGGGAAGAAGTAGAAGCTTAAGAACAGAATATTGCAAGAATAGCCAGAAAATTCAATGGAATGCTTACAGGAGAAGAAAATGGCTTAAGAGGGTATTCTCTTACATTTATGATTGCATACTTAAGAGATTTTGGTTGCTCCTATAATTTTGTAGCTGAATCAATTGAAACATCTTGTCCTTGGAGCCAAGTAAATATTTTGTGCAAATCAATCAAAGAAACTCTGATTAAATCTAGTTAAAGTAGAGGGATCCCAGTTAATAAAATATTTGCATCATTCAGAGTTACCTAACTTTATGAGACTGGTGCAGCAGTTTACATTTATTTTGGATTTAGTTATGGTGATATGCAAATAAAAAATGTAGTCTAAATGTATGAAGAAATTGAAAATGAAGCTAGAGATGAAATTTTGAGAAATGGAGGGAGTATATCTCACCATCATGGTGTTGGTAAGATTAGAAAGAGATTTTCAGAAAAGACAATGCCTCCAATGGCTATTGATATTATGAGAAATTTTAAGGATATAATTGACCCAAAGAATGTTTTTGCAGTTAATAACACAATATATTAGAATGAAGAAGAACGGTAAAATGATTTGACCCATAAACTTTGATACCTAATTAGAAATTTAAACCACATAAATTTGATGAAAATTACAAATTTTTTTTCCATTCATAACTAATATTAAAATCTCTTAACATTTAATATTAACTAAATTTAAATTTCAAATAGGTTTTTTCGGACTCATCTAATTATGTACCTTTCAATGATTCTTGTTCTTGGGTGTTGAATTTAATGAACTGCAATCAGGATATCTGCTTATATCAAAATTTTGTGGATTTTCGACATAGTCTTTGAAAATTTTGACAAATCTCCCAGCAATAGCTGCATCACCATATCTATGGTCAATAGTCCAAACTGTTTTCATGATGTCACGAATTTTTATTTCCCCATTCATCACTACAACCCTCTAAATTACTTTTCCAGAACATACTGTGTACATACTATGAAATGGTATAGCTATTGGTGCAAATCCTTCTTCAAAACCTAGTGTTCCTATATTAGTCAATAATGCTTGTCCATATTCGTTTCCTCTCAACTATAAATTAACTATTAATATATAAATAAATGTTATTTACTCCAAGGGCAGGAATACTGATTCCAACACATTACCCTAGATAGGTGAAGATGGTTATAAGAACTCCAAGTATAAAATTAGGTATTATGTCAAAAAGCTGAGTAGCTTTTATATGATCTTCATCTTGATTATTTTTTGCTTTCACCACTTTGCGACCTAAAACTTTTGCCAGATCAAGCAAAGACTCATTCTAAGCCTCTTAAAGGTTGACAGATAACAAATCTTTCCCATTTTCCTAATCAACCAATACAGATACTGTTAGAATCTCTGCTTTTTGAAACTATATTTGTTATTATAATGTTCTTATTACATATCCCCATCTAATTCTGCCCACATCTCTTCTATTTCTATCATTTGCTAAGAATATTGCTTTAGTCATTAATGTAGTTAATGTAATATTAACTTCCTATTATTCTTGACTATAGAAATGAATTCTTTTAAAATATTTACTTAAGCTTCTTGATATAAGGAAGTGTTTCAGTGACGTCTATATCAACTACAAGATGAGAAGTTGGATCTGAGGGCTCTAAATATTTTAAGATAATAAATAGCAAATACCACCAAATGAAATAGCTAGAAAGTTTTTTCTTTTTGAAACAGCAGATCTATCCAAAAGAATGAAATTGAAAATGATTGTATAAAGTGCAATAAAGACAATATAGATTTTTAGAAATGCTCCATCTATAAAGATGCTGTAATAAATACCAGCAAGAATCCACAAAACTATGAAAGCGTTCATCCAAATTAAGTAGTAATTTTATTAATAACTTTAAATTGCGACTCTCTAATATTTAACTAATACTAAAGATAAGAACAAAATATAGATGAATTTTACGTATTGTTTAATGATAATAAAAGTTTTGAATTCTGCTAACGTTTAAATTCAATTTTTAAAGATGATGGGGTTTTGGGGTTTTGGGGTTTTGGGG